GCCTACTGATATGGTTCTAGGAATCAGAATGAGTTCACTTTCATGATTAAAAAATATGCCTGACTGAATCCTATGTCTAAATGTAGTCACTTAAATTATTTAACCTAAACTTACTTCATACTATGTGATTTTCCGTCTCAGAATTACTCCAAACGGATTATCATTTAACATGAATTCTCAATTTAGACAAAATTCCTTGAATTTGTTACAGTTCTCTTCAATATTTTTTGTATAATGTTTATTCTACCACAATTTAAATCTTCCGCCTTAATTCACTTATGGTTCAAACGAATTTCTAAGTATTGTAAATCATGCTAAATTATAACTTTATTTCTTCTCTTGTCGAACCGTTTAAATTTCCCAGGAAAGTTCTAGAAGGCGAAGATGTTTTCTATCCATTGAAACAGAAGTTCGGTCATATATATATATATATATATATATATATATAATATTTGTTATTAACAACAAAAACCATCACCAGCCACCATCAACGGGAGAGATTTAACAGAGGTAACTTCCTCAGCCTATCTAGGAAGCATCGCTTCAACTAAAGGCCATTGGGATGGATGAAGACATCAAAGCAGGCTAGAATTGGAAAGGCAGGATACGCCTTCATCAACCTGAAAACAGTTTGAAAATCTTCTGCACTCAGCCAGCATAAACAACAAGAATTGGAATTTCAACACCAGTGTCAAGTCTGTCCTCCTGTATGGGTCAGAAACTTGCACTGTGTTTCACGAAAAGGATTTCCATCAGGCTGCATAATTTTATCAACAGCTGTTTTCACTGGTTCTATACTGAAGAGCAAATGACCAGATGGACAGGAAGAATCATGAACAATAAACTCTGGTTTAGAACAAACCAGCCAAGAGCCGATCGGTCAACAAATATGTAGGAGAAAATGGAGATGCATCGGATGTATATTGAAGAAACCATCGAATGATATCTTGCAACAGGCCTTCGAGTGGAATCCTCAGTGGGAAGGGACGAGTGGATCGTCAGTGCGAGGGTGACATGGAGGAGATCGTGTGAGGAGGAGATGAGAGATTATGGGCAATCGTGGCCCAAGTTGAAGAGGACGGCAGAATACAGGACAAAGTGGAGATATGTTGTTGAAGCCTAATGTTCCACTCGGAACCCAAGGGAATAATATTTATGATATAATATATCATAAATTTCAATATTCTTGATAAAGCGAGTATTACTTTGATACGCTTTTCAATATTTGACAGTTTATTTGGAAACCAATCATACAAGTGAATTTATGCGCTTTGATGAGAAACGAATGACAGGTGTGTTTTCTGTTTGCATATTAGCATCATCTAGGGAAAACAATAAACAGATTTTTTGAGTTTCCCGCTGAATTTAATCCATTTGTGTGTGGATAATGAAAAAGTGTGTCGTAAACTAGTTTCTGTCCAGATAATAATCTATATGTGTAAGATTAATTTCACTACAACTGTTTCCGGGGGCGTTCATACGCATACCCTTGAGGAATAAATCAGATCACTTGTATCCTATAAATCATGAGAATAGATTTATCAAGACATGAATGTATCAGTTAACAGGGAGATTGCTTAGTCATCATTTTCCCTTGATTTATAAAACATCTATTATAAAGGTTGGCATTACCAATCTTTTTTTCTTTAATACTAACTAATGTTCAGTGAAGACTTCAGTACAGAAGCATTAATTTATGCTTCACATATACACACTTCCCCAGTTCAATTTGAGAAACAGTCTCTATGCTGCATAATTTCTCCAGCAGATGTATTTTTATTCGCCTATAAGTAGTTAGATTGTGCGTTGGTGGCACAGCGGTTAGGACACTCGCCGACCATGCACATGGTCCGGAGTTCGATCCTCGACCGACTCACTCCTTTACCTCACTAAGCCATAAATAATTCTGGTTGGGCATGAGGGTAGTAACATGATCCTGTAAAATTAAACGCTGCTACAGAAACTTCAAGCCACTAGCTTAAGGCCCTATGTTCCACTGGGAACGTGAAGGAAAAAAAAGGTAAGTAATTAGATGCTTGCCTGAAGAAGCATAGCAGCTTGCCCATGAAGAAAAACCCAACCCTTTCTAATGTGCTTATGTTGATTAACCGCCAGTGTCATGTGTCTAGGTATTAGTGCTGGTTGTAACTGCACTCTATGAATCAAGTTTGGCGTATGGTCAACAAGCCGGGTGAATTGTCAACACTATTTACTTTGAAATCATATTACCCATAGTTGGAGGGAAATTTTTCCACACCTTCCTAATAGTGTGTTGGCAGTTACTCACTAACTAAGTCACAGGAAGTTGCAAAATAAACAAGAAAGAAATGCTAAAAATCAGTTTAAGTTTAAGCTGTTTTGTCAAGCTATAAAAATGTGCATATTACTATTTAAAAATTTATAACGTCGTGTAAACAATGGTCAGATAACTGGAACAAACCGACGTTGTTTGCATAAGGCTGATCACCACTTTACCAGCAATCAGTATAAAGTGTGATGAGGACGTATTTCTCTTCTCCTGGAAACTGTAGTCCGACTGTGTATTAATCACAATGTTTATTTGTTTTTCGGTTCAATGGCTGATAAAGAGATAAACTGCATGCATTGTATGAATTAAACAGAGGTAAATGTGTAAACCTTGAAGTACACTTCCTCCTCTTTCTCAATATGCTCTAAGGTATGGAAGATTGCCAGTTGAAAAATAACCTCTAAAAGTGAATTAAATCCCCATTGACATAACCTTTCCTACATTAGTAAGGTTAACGAATGTCTGGAAATCCCGAAAGCTAGTTTTGATCCGACATTTTCTTTTTCATTCCTTGACTTCCATGGGGAACACAGAGCTTTTATGCTTTAAAGTCCAGTGGCGATAGTGTTGTTATAACGGGTCGAGTTGTTAGTCATACACCCAACCTTCTCTCTCTGTCTACTGTGCTACTGGCTATTAAACTAGCAGGCTTAGTTAAGTGTCTAACAGGTCGAGCAATAGCACTAAGTAGTACAACAAAAAACCTAAACGATGAAATGAAACAGATAGAAAAGGCGTTGGTGTTAAATAACCAACTATCCTATAAAATTCATTAGGAACATCAAAAAAGGTCAAACGCAAGACAAAAGGAATGGTGAAACAAACGATGATAACATAAATAAGGACGAATAAAAGCCATCTACAGTCTAACCATATAAGGAGGGGACACCTAAAATCCTACATAGGATTCTAAATAAACCAGGAATTAGGGTGGCATTCAAACCTACAAACTCACTCAAGTGGGACAACCTCTGTAGGGTAAAGGACCCACTGGACCCAATTAAACAAAATAATAATAACAGCTTTATTCCAAACAGTATTTGTGGTACAGGTATGGAATTTTCAGCGTGCATTACCATATATTGCATCTAATTCCCTCATAAATTTTATAAGATTTTTAAAATCAAAAAATAAAAAAATAAAAAAACCAACGCCAAAAAAAAGATAAATAAAAAAAGCAGCGTAGTGTTTACATTTCAAACAATGCACCACAGGATATGAAATATAAAGTTGATGTGTGATAGAAGATGAGAACAACAGTGTAATAGTAACGAGGAAAGGAAAACAAAAACTGATGGGACTATTTGTTAGAGTGCAGCAGTAAGTTGATCGTGTCATACCTAACAGATTTCTCATCACATAACAGCTGTGCCAGATATGGTATTGTAGAGCTTTTTTACTTGGTAGTTCTAACATATAGCCTCCTATAGCTGCTTCTAGTTCTACCAGATGAAATGCAAGGAGACAGCTGCGTATAGAGAGGATGTTTGGGGTCTGACAATATAGTATTCGCTAGTTTCTTACATGACATAATATGTCTATCCGCAATAGTGTTAACCAGTTGGTTTAACGATATCCCACTTGCCCTACTAACGGCTTTCAGTGCCTTTCTCAGCAAAGCAAACTCTTTCTTAAGTAGTCCAGGAAAGATTAATAGGGAGCAGTAAAGGGGGATGGGTAGAATACAAGAATTTACAAACTGAGAAAGCAAAGACTGCTTTATGCCAGATTGCCAAATTTCCTAATGTAGAAAGTTAAGTGAAACATCTTTCTAGTAACTAGCAACGATATAATCTACAAAATACCTTGCAATGACTGTGAATCAGGTCAACTACATAGATCAAACTAGTAGATCAGGAGTAGTGAGATCGCCTGTCAGAACATAAGAATTTAGCTAAGGTTAGAATGGTTGACCCCCCCCCCCCACGAAGATAAGTAATTTAGAAAGAAGAAAGCTCAGCACCAGATTGCACTGCATGCATTAAAACACAGCCACACAATCGGGTGGGTGGGACAGAGTCAAAATTCTGAGAAGTAATATAGGTAGGTGGAGAGAGAGAGATTAAGATTGATTACTGAATCTTGGTTCATCGAGTCTACACCCAACACATGCAACAGAAATGACTCAATGCAAATACCAGAGATATGGAAGATGTTATTACCGCCAGTCAGTCAAATCAGAGGAGGATAATAAATAATGTTAAAATGTATTCAATTCTCATTCTATCAAGTTACTTATTTTGACTATAAAAACGCTCGTCTTATTTCCCCTCTTATTGTATTTGATTGATAACACTAATATTATTTCTGAATGTACATTACCTTATATTGATTTTTATTCACATATCTAAGCAAGAAAGTTGTGTGATTGACTTGGTATGATTATGAGCAGTAATAAGTTGTGCTCGAAACGTTGTCATCAGTTAATATTACTGTATAACACTGTGTGATTTTATCAGAATAAAATCTTATCTATAATGGAGATATGCTCAATCACAATGCCCAAGTTTTATCATTATCTCAATAAAACTAGTAGAGGTTTCAGAGTGCGTCGGCCGGGAGCCCAACCGGGACTTCCCAAGGGGCTGAAGAGTATCCTACCTTTAAACTACCCAGATAGCATTTATTATTTTTATTTAACATGAGCTAAACTGTTTTTTTTCTTATCTGTTTTCTTTCCTTTTGTATACAGGCTGCTTTCAACAGTGCATTCCATCTTCATTTTATTGATCAGCGTCTACTGCCTCCTGTTTAACAAGAAAATGCATGAAGATAAATTCTTGTAATACAATTTCAACAGTTTAAAGTTTGTTTCATGCATATCTGCGTTTTATGCACAATTTATATTGCTATTTTATCACTATCATATTTATAACTTTGTAATTTATAGGTTCTTGACATTCCTAGGGTTGAAGCCTCGGCTAGAGTTAAACTGATGAATGACTGATGCTTATCAAAAACACCTTCTTTCGATTCTGATTCAGTTGCTTTCCCTGAGCTGAATGGCTAAGAAGCTTTCACTGCCTTACTAGACAAAATCTTCAGGACTTTCCTTTATTTGTTAGGTTTTAGTAGAGGGAAACAGGAATTACTAACCACTGTTTCATTAATACACAAGAAAATGCAATTAAGTTTGAATTCAGGGATGGATTTCCTCGATAACCTAGACGCCTATTGCATATAGAGTGTCCTGCATTGATTTCGCGATGATTACATATATATCTGACACACCATCAGGGGACTATATCTGCGTCTAACCAAACTAGCCTGAATTTACCAAGGTTATAATCGAAAGTCCCAGACAGTAGACAAGTCTAATGTTTTATACTGATCATCAGCCTTTATGCTTAAGTTAGTTAGTTAGTTAGTTAGAATTGCTAAAATTCAATTGTTCACATGTAAAGCATAAAATCGAACCATAATCAATGAGTTAACAGATGATCAATAGAAAAACAATATACTAACTGTTCAATACTTTTAAAACACAATAAGTTGTGTCTGGAAAGTGGTAAACAAGTATATCTGCTCAGTAGTGATATTCATTACTTGGAAACTGCTGATTTTCCTCCTTATCACAATATATTTGTATGTAGAAGATTGTGCACATAAATTAAAATATCTAGCGTATTACGTCGGTCTTAACGTTATTCTTTAAGTTATCACACCTCAAATTGAATTACAACCGATGTAATTCCCTTCAACCATGTTTAAAATTATTTTGCGGTACTGTGTTTCTGAAGAAACAACAAATGGAAGTTATTTTATGACACTTGAGTTTTGGTTAAGTTGATGGAGTGTTACAATTTTCGTATTCGTCTATAAACTCTATGACCTGATCAAACGTTACCAACAACTCGGATACACTGACTACGATCGGTGACCACGACCTTCTGTGAAGTAAATATTGCCGGTTTACTTTAAGCATATTCCTAGATAGTGACAAAATCTATCTATCTGATAAATTCTGGCTAATCTTTAACATCTGAAAGTACTTCTGAGTCCTTACATGTTTTTGCATAGCTTCCCTCAGCTAAATTCCATCGGCCAAGAGTATTTCAAAGCAGTGGATATTAAGATCAACAAACAAATCTATGGTGGATAATTGTCAAACAATATCATACAATGAATGATTCAAGAGTGCAAATATATGAATTGTACTCGCTACAGTGGTACATATACTAAAATTGGAACGATACAGAGAAGATTAGCGCAAGGATGCTCAAGAGCACCTCAAAAAAACTACAGACCTTCATTAACAGTTGTCTTCGCTCACTACCCAAGATTAGATGGCCGGCCAGAAAACATCAGCAATATAGATCTCTGGGAGCGGACCAACTACGAACAAATGGTGCAACAAGTTGATAAGCTTGAAAATCCCGATTGAGTTACATGAAAAAGAGAAGACGTTCAGCGAAGAGACTATTTTCGACGGCGAATTCATTCACATAGCTGTACAATCGCATTTGTATATAATTATTTGTGTGTGTGTGTACATGAGGTTTGTGAAGTTTAGATAATTGATCAGGTAATACAAAAATTATCGAATATAGAAACAAGGTTAATCAGACAGCAACTAAAGTAAGATTGAGTTAGCAAGTTAGATGACGTAATATAATTGACTAAAATGTTTCAACTTAGGTCAGGGTAACAACAGAGGTTATTACAGGTAGAGACTAAGTAGAAGTGGGGTAAAGAATAATGCCATTTAAGTGAAATTGAACAAATAAGTTGGATGATGTAACATAATTGACTAGAAACTGAGCGTTGTTCAAGTCAGTAACAGTGGTAGTGAGGTGTTGAAATTAAATCGGGTGGGGTGGAGAACAAGAAAGTTGAAAATGTAAAATATTGCAATTGAGAAGACAAAATAATACGAATGAAGAGACAGAAAAAAAGATCAGGTAGAATTTATTTGTTGGGTATTAAGACAGATTATGTCCATTGCAAGTGTAGTGATTCAACGGACTTCTTCTGTATGTAGAGTTCAGGAGTTAGCGGGTGAATCTCCATTGCTTCTGCAGTTTGAAGAAGTCTGATTCATACACCTTTAGGAAGACTGCTTCTTACTCTGTAGACGACTTTGAAGTTTGTTTTGGGGTGTAGCTTGGTGTCTGGATTCCATCAGATGTTCTAAGATGCAGCTGCAAGGGGATCGATTTTCTCCTTTGTAAAACCATGTAGGTAGGGGTTCAGTGATACGTTAGGAAAGCGAACACTGGGTACGGCCGACATAACCTGGTTCCACATGAGCAGGTGAATTGATAAATACACATTGATGAGGCCAGAATTGGTAGCTTATCCTTCACGTTCACACGAATCATAGGTTTCGTGGAGAAGGTTATGCGTAGTTCAGCTGCCAAGAAGGTCTTCTTAAGTGAGCGCAACTGACGATATTTTAGTGTTTCCGCAGATATATCTCCATTGAATTGAAGGTTCATGTAGAGTAGTTTTTTTCGGGACGCTACAGGTCTTTTAGCTCAGCAGAGAATTGTGTTCTAAAATATCAGTCAATGTATCTATCATACCCTAAATTATCTAGTCTTCTGTCTTTATTACTGAAGATAACTGGGTTGGGGTGTGTTGAAAATCTGTTGCTTTTTTTTATACCAGTTGAGGGTTTACATTTCATTTATTTTCTCAGCCTCACTGAACATATGAATGCCAATGATATGATATGATATGGAATGCTGAATCATTAAAATTCTAGAGTCCAAAACCTCACTAAGCAAATCAACTTGCTAATTTGTTTGCACTTTTTTTTTTCAACCAGTGCATCAATTTATTTCTTCATAATTCATAATGGTGATCAGTTTGATCATCTGGATTTATCATATGATTTTAATCAAAATTGTGACATTAGCTGAGTTTTTCTTTTTCTTTTCTAAATTCTGACGTTTATTCTACTAACTGACACAGATGATAGAGAAAATAATTAGTAGTGCATTAACATGTGACCTGGTCGGTCTAGTGTCATTGTAAGATTTATTGATTCATTATATCGATTATTTATTTATTCAAATTCTTTCTCTCTCTCTCTCTCTCTGTCTATAAAAGAACAGGACAGACAAATAAGGTTGTGTTATATCACTTTTCTTTTTTGACTGTATTCAAAATATAAAAAAGAAGAGAAAAATCACGCGTTAATGTAATGCTAGATAATGCTAGTGTTTATGTTTAGATCAGATGTCAAAGAGGAGACAAGAAAAAATTGAGCGTTTATTGAGTAAGTATGCCACCTAGTATGGTATTTCAGAGAAGGTTTATTTAATAAGGGCGTGAACTGTTTCGATAACAGTATGTGATCTGCTTCAAGCAATTACCAAAATAACTAGCATGAGTGCATTATTATCTATATGTTGTGGGTATTTGGGCTAGCCTTTTGCACCATGACTAGTATAGGATAATTAGATGGAGGTGATTTCCTACTATTTGGTAGTAATTAATCAACGCTTGACAATAATGTAGGTGAGTTTCGAACATAGAACATGTGTATGTGTGTGTGCATGGGAAACGAAAGCATGGTATTTTGGAACTGAAAAAGAACATTTCAGCATAGAAAAAAATCCCCATTTAGACATTTAGAAAACAGAAAGATTGAGAGAAGAAATATTTACTTTTCAATTAGATCCTCATCTCTGGCTCTACTCTAATATTTATGTGTAGCATTTTTATCACAATACACAACAGTTTACCAATCAAGTGGCACTGATATGTTTGTTAACAATAATTAGTTAGTCAGTGTCAAAATGTCAATGGGTTGATAATTAACGAAGAAAATCAATAGACATTTCAAAGGTAGAAATGGATAGAATAAATTACTTTTACAAGGACAACACATAATTAAAGATGAAGTGGTCAAAATAGAAAAATAAATAAGTAAAAAATAAAATAATTTGGGCAATTCTAATTTTTATAATTATAAATATCCAAATTATTTTATTTTTTATTTATTTATTTTTCTATTTTGACCACTTCATCTTTAATTATGTGTTGTCCTTGTAAAAGTAATTTATTCTATCCATTTCTACCTTTGAAATGTCTATTGATTTTCTTCGTTAATTATCAACCCATTGACATTTTGACACTGACTAATTATTGTTAACAAACATATCAGTGTCACTTGATTGGTAAACTGTTGTGTATTGTAATTAAAATGCTGCAAATAAATATTAGAGTAGAGCCAGAGATGAGGATCTAATTGAAAAGTAAAATATTTCCTCGCTCAATCTTTCTGTTTTCTAAAAGAACATTTACTGGGTAAGCTTATTTAGAAACAGAGGACTGTTGGAAACCGGGAGCACCGGACTACAGGTTAGACCAGGCTTGGGACTATCCAGAAATAGGCATCCCAAACCAAGTGAAACCCGCTGACGATGCATCCGTCCTGATCGAACTCAATATCCTTTGAATCATAACTTGTTTTAATTCTTGAGATATAATGACAGTGAAATCGTGGTTGCTCACTGGTGAACAGTTCCCAACTGGGACGAATCGGATATCCAGTGCTTCCTAGTTGCCAACAGTTCTCCGAGTTACGTCTGTTTGTGACGAAGTCGAACTTAGAATCAATCAAATCCTTAAAACTAAACACCTCGAAAATATTATCTTAATGAATTGTGCATATTTATAAGAGATACAAACTATATATATGAGTTGTCTGGGTATCAGATAAACTGTGCTTCATTCTGTTTATTTGTTATGGTTACGCACACGCAAGCATATTGGGCTCATCAGTGATGCGCTTTGACAAATATGTTCCATCGAGGAGTCCGATTACAGGGACAGTGGTTATATAATGCAGAACTTCCAACTTGAAGAGGCTGAACTTAATCTGTCGCCTCATTTTCCGTAATAATACTTAAAAAGAGGAAATGTCTTGTACTTTAAACCCATGTTATACCACTTCATGAGTTGTTCAGATGAATTGTCCCTGTCCTCCTTATTTTCAAATAGTATTCACCTATTTATTCACCTGCTTCTCCATCTTTCCTTCCCTTACTCACATTCAATTTCAACTACGCTTAACTGGCGAAAATCTACAAAAACAACAACATACTGTTGTGCTGAAAACAACAATGTTCACTGCAAATGACAAACGAATTAACCAATCTAGCTATTCAGATTTCCTCAGCGATTTCGGGATATGTATATCTTGTGGCTACATGATATATGGTAAATAAATTTACATTTTTTTTGCTAGATTGTTTCAGTTTTGTTTTTCCGATCGATTCGTTATTTTTGCTATTGATTATTTTCGATTCAAAATCTAAGGTGAAGGTCACTGTGGGATAGATTTGTTTTCGCGAATACGGTACAAAAAGCGAAACGAATAGAAATTATTATTGGCTAATATTATCCAATGTAAACATTTAAAGGGAACTGACACTCAATGCTACAAACTCTTTCGTATTCATTGACATTTTAACAAATAAATGATTTAATATTGAGCAGATGTGACAATAACTAGAGCGTTAACCAATAAAAGCGTCAACCGTAGGCTTACAGTTCAGCAATCGAAGGAAAAAAAGCTTGCTGTTAATCTTAATACTGTTACAGCTACTGACTGACAGTCAGACAGGCTTGTCTGCAATATCAGTTATATTGAAACGGATATTACCCTATGTTGCAGCCACAGAGCACCTCTTTATCAAATGTCTTATTTAAGTAACTTCATGCCAAATTCAATCAATCAACAGGATCCCATCAACAATAAAGACTACACAGCATCAGAGTGATTCCTTCCCAGTGACCGATCTATAGATTTAGCAGGGAAAAATCCTTCCGTGAATAGCTTAGTTGTAACACCGCTGACTATAGCACTAAGAGACACCAGTTCAAATATCTGAAGGAACCTCCATAGAATCAAAGTTGTATATAGGTCCTGCTGATAAGGGCTAGTAAACAGAAAAGCCAAGTCCATTGCATCAGGTCGATTGCCTGTTTTCAGAACCACTCTGTCAGAGATATGTCAAGGCGTATTGTGCTTTTTGATTCAAAAGTATGTGAAGACTATTCAGTCGTTGCAAGATCTACTAGTTATCGATGCATAAAGTCCCGTACTCATTAAATGTCATTAAATGGCACAGTTCCCCTGTACTGTTCTCTATTCATGAATACCGTTGAAACTCCTGTTCTGCTCTTAGGATATCATTTAACTTTTAACGTAGCCATATTTCCTGTGTAGCAAAACAACACACACACACACAACAACGCAATATTATGTTCAGCATGTCAGCATTTAATCCTTTTCTTTTCTGTGTGATTCTACTTATGTAACTCAACTGTCTGGCATGTCAAGTAGCTAAAACCTGAAGTGTTGTGGTTACGAAGTAACTTACTTTTATTCCAATCCTCAATATCTACAGTGACGACGGTTCAAACAGTGTTAAAAATGGAATAACTGCATGCTTACGACTGACTAGCATATATCAAACAATCTGTCAGTGGGTAGCAGTTTTCAACGTTTGTCAGATTACCACAGTATACACTTCTGAATACATTTCAACTCACTATGGTAGTATTTATTGATCGGATGCGATAAAATGCTTATTTTTCTTGGTTTATGAAGCAGTCTAACAGCATTCATTTGTGTCAATGATACACTTATACTGGGGTTATTTTTCCACCAAATTTTGAGCAGTTATTGAAAATGTATCAAAAAAAAATCAGTTTTTGCATTTTAATTAAACTTCGGTATTAGATGGTTGGAGGCGGTCGGTAGGAAGCGTTGGACCTAGGTTTCGTGCTAGTTGGCACTCATCAGCAAACTCGACTCATAGGATTCAGTCTGCACCAAAGATATGACTAGACGTACAAATTACACTAGTTGCTGACTAGTGTTCAATCAAAAATTGAACTTTATTGGAAATAAGGTAACTCTGAGAATATTCTTTTTTTCTAAGAGTTGACTGTCTAATTCAGGAGAAAAATCCACACACACGCATCCTTCTGCACTTCTGCACTAGTAGTATACAACTGCTACGAGTTTCTTTCTACTGTACAGCGTCGTGTTATAGTTTGTTATGAGTTATGCCCATCTTTGGATATTACCAGCGTACGAACAGTTTGTAGGTCAATTTGTCTGGTACGCTTCTGCTTCCAACTACTCTTAGTCATTTTCGTTAGGGACGGCGATGCTGCACAATGGAATTGCACATAAGAATTATACTGTCTTTATTACGATGAAGTACAGCAATAATGAATTTACCCCCAAACTGTCTATCACTCTGTGATGATTTCAACTTTAGATAGTGAATATCTGTGTTTTACTTCCTCCACAAACTCAAGCAGATGGACCATAAGACCAGGTTGAGCTTTCCCGGCTGGAATTTTCACTGTGTCAGAAGTAAAGATTAAATGATATCGAATAGTTGGTCACACGTAGTCATACGATGAAATTTGACAGGAAAAAGTTTACCACTTTTCTTCAAAATTCATTATTGAATTGATATATTCAAAGCGAAAGTATGTGATATGATAATTAAAAAGTTGAGTGGGTGAATGCCTGCTTAAAAATGCGAAATTGCCGGCAGTCAAATTCTGTAGGTCACCTTTAATTGGATCTCGTTAAATAAGGATCTGTTCTGTAACCTTCTGAATCTAATCCTCGAATCTAGTCTGCTGGATAGTTAGAAGGGGGTAGCGGATATAAAAATAGGGCAAAATGAACATACTATCTTAGATGGCAGTCACCTTTCTATTCAGGTCAGATATAGTGCACTAATTCCACAAATAATGTAAGTTTTTATGCGCCTACAAATATCACATAATATTATACTGGTTCTTTTTGTTGCACAGACTGCTGTACGATGATTATGTACATGAAAGGTGCTTCACTGTGGGCTTTTCTTATTCATCATTCGGTTGTAGTTTGGGGAAGTTCTGAATTATTGGTAGGTTGCTTATTTACAGTTTTTGTTTAATTTATGCACACCTCTGTTTATATTGCAAACCAACAATAACAAGTTCAAGGAAGTGGTTCATAGCTAAAATAAAAGAATGAACTGACTGGGTTTTTTTCCGACTAGAGTTAAACAGTTGATCACTGTCTCTTCAGCTGTCAGCTATCAATTTGGTAGTTATAAGAAGCATAGCTTCTTATTCAAACTGCTAAAGAAAAGAGACTTAAGTCAATGCAAGAACTGGCGCAGAATTATGCTCATGTCCATCTCAAGCAAAATACGAAGCCGCATCATCCTGGAGAGAATCAAACAAGTTCTGGGTGAATAACTTCGACCGGAATATGCTGGATTCAGGAGAAGCAAGTCATGTATTGATCAAATCGCTACACTACGGATCATCATTGAACAGAGCTTGGAATCACAGTCACCTCTCTATCTCAACTTCATCGACTTTGAAAGGCCTTTGATAGCGCAGCGTCGATCAAGAGGTGATTTGACAACTACTTCGCTACTACGGGGTGGCGCCGACAATTATACATCTCATCCAACAGTTAGTTGTACGACAATGCTGCATGCCAAGTAATCCACAACGAAAAACTTACGGAAGCCTTCGAAGTGAGGACGGGAGTGAGGCAAGCTGGATGTCTACTGTCGCCAATGATTTTCCTGACTGCAGTAGGTTGGATAATGCGGACAAACAGCGGCAATGAGGAAACAGGCATAAAATGGACCCTCACGAAAAACTTGGAGGATCTGGACCTCACCGATGTTATATGTCTGATCTCCCACAAACTGGAAGATATGCAGTGAAAAGCAACAAGTTGGCGTAAGAAGAATCCAGAGGAGATAGGACTTCAGGTGAACACAGAGGAAACAGAGGTGATGAAGATTCCTGGCCAACACCAACAGCAACAACAACAACAACAGACGACAGTCAGACAGCATAAATGGGAGGAACCTGAAAGAAACAGCCTCCTTCACCTACCTGGGAAGCATCGTTTCAACTACAGGCGGCACTGATGAGGATATCAAAGCCAGAATCTGGAAAGCAAGATAAGCTTTCATTACTCTTAAGTCTGTGTGGAGGTCAACATCACTCAGCATCAAGAATAAGATCCGGATTTTCAACTCCAATGTGAAGTCAGTCAGTGCTACTATACGGATCAGAGACTTGCACTGAGCGTCATAAAGAGCATCTCAAACAAACTTTAATCCTTCATCAACAACTGTCTCCGCTCAATACTCAAGAACAGATGGCCGGCCAGAAGAGATCAGCAACAGGGATCTCTGTGAATGTGCGAACCAAACCAATGTGAATCGATCGTGAAGCAAATATGCAGGGAGAAATGGAGATGGATTGGCCATACTCTGAAGAAACCATCAAGTGACATCACTTGACAAGCCATTGCTCGAGTGGAACCCGAAAGGGAAGCGGGCGGCGAGTTGGTCGTCAGTGGGGGGAGTGACACGGAGGAGGTCATGTGAGGAGGAGATGAAAGCATGTGGATCGACTTGATGCGGGGTGGAAAAGTTTGCAGAAAACAGAAGCCAATGGAGGTGTGCAGCTGAAGCCCTATGTTCCTCTAGGAACTAAATGATAAAATAAAAATAATAATAATCACTTCAGGTTCATATATAAATCTATAGACTGCTGTAATATTTAAATAGAACTCACTGGCTTGGTTCCCAATAGAATACAGTTCTTTCCTCAGTTTCAATCACTGCATCTGGATACAACTAATGAAATTTATTAGGTAAACAAAAGTCCCTCTATACGATTTTGTTTAAACTATTTGGGATGTTTAGCACTCATATTTCCACCACACGATTACTCTACCCACACAATCTATAAATACTAGCCATCAAAATATCTGCGATTTATGCTGACACACAGTTAGAGTGATAAATCAAAGCGGACAACGCATCAAATCATTCTCTTCACCACATCTTTGATACCCCCGGCACACCTCATTCAGTCGAACGTTCAGTGGCCTAATAGTTGAAGTGTGGTGGTGTGATACAGAAAGTGTGTTCCAACGGAATATAATTCTCACATATTCTCACAGTTCAGTACGCGGTAGAGTGCTCGAGAACCATGTAGGTGATCCGGGGTTCAATGCCTGGGCGATGCCCTTCTTTCCTTCGGTAAACCAGTAATAAGACGGGTAAAGAGGGAGGGTTGGGCATGAGGCTAACAACCCCATGCTGTAAAAATAGTCATCACTGCTATGGAAACTTCAAGACTCTAGCTTGAAGCCCTATGTTCCGCTGGGAACGTGAAGGAATATATATATATGCCTTTCAAATATTTCTAATCTGCTATGACCATTGTTAATCTCATCAATACGATGATTTGTTGTATTATAGACAATATTTATTTCTTTGACTTTTTCAGACCAATCGAATTGGAAAGTATTACGCCTACCTCAAGTTTCTGACAGAGCTGTCTACTCCTTTCATTAACATAAGGTATTTAGTTTATATGAGTTATTATCATTCTATTAGTGTATAAATTCGGTTGACCTGTTTTTTTTAAATGAATTTCCAAAATCATGTAATACAGCAGAATATGAGTAATATAGAAGACGACGCTTTGTTCACTGGTTATATTTTTTTTGTAATATTCTTTTTCCCCACAAAACTTTAGTCATGTTCCTACTCAAGTGCTCATAAATCCACTGCCGAGAAGAGGATGAAGACTTGCTTGCTTGTTTTATCATTTTACAGTTCAAAAAAGGATTTGAAAGTGTAGACAACATTAAATATTACAATAATATCATGTTGTGGGAAGATATCTTGGGCTGAATCGATAGGCTTCCTATCCAAGACAATCACTATGATGACTAGGAGTTGAAAGATGACAACTAACATATTTAGAACCCTGAAAAAGAATTTTATCATGTACTTACTCAGTTGTCTGTGACAGCTGACTTCTTTTCTCTCTAAATGTGGCAATATTTATTGATCCAAAGATTCCCCTTGAAATAAAACAGCACACTACCACTAGTAATTTTATATACTCCTGTAGTGAAATACAACATTTATGTTCTCAGGAGAGCATGGTGACAATCTGATTATCACATGGTCCATTGAGTTATGAAGTGCAGTAATTAGTACGTGTGATTCACTTTAAATAATAGACTCTTGGCTTGTCACACTGTGGATTTATGCGAAACAACAACAACTGGTGATCAGGTATAAACAGAAAGTTAAAAGTACACGAATATTAAATAACTCATCATAATAATAAGAACTAATTCTAAAATCACAAGGACACTGGCCTGTTGAATTACAGTATTTTGGAAATCATCTACTCATTTAAGCAAACACATGATAAGTGTTCTTTTGTGAGAAAAGCCTTTTCGTTAAGAGTGACTATTTGTAGAGGCTTTTTGAAGTATGTCACACATATTTGTCAGGTAGCAGTTTATCAAAACACTCCTGAAACTTGTTTTTTTCTTTTTAATCTGATAATAATGAAGCATTAATTGTAAGTTTTCCACTTGAAAAGAAAAGCAAACAAAACAATTAAGAGGAGATATACACATACTTGAAGGTGGCAATAAAACCTTTGTTTAGATTCAAGGGGTAAGGAAATTAGTGTGAATGACATCTTCACTATTTTCAATGCGAAAGATTCTATGGCCAATCAAACAGAAACCAGATCGTGCAATAAGCTTCCAATGTCACTTGCTATTCTCAAAGAACACTGATAACAATGAACAGAGGAAACATTTTGAAAAAAATATACCCCACTTTCCTCATAATGTACTCCGAAACTCTTTAATTTAAAAAATATCTCCTAGTACTCAAAGACAGAATTTCAGGATAAAAAAAAGTGAAGTTTAGTCCAATGGTTTCACGCGAGTTCATTAAGGTGCAGAGCTCTCCTTTTTGTTTCATTTCTTCATTCCTTGTATTCCAAGCTGAACATGGTGCTTCTATGGTGTCGGTTTTATTTAGGGAGAATGCTAGTCTCATGCTGAACTTTTCCTCTTTTCCTGGCTTAATGTGGGCTAGTAAACTAGGCGAGGTTTAGACGTGAATAGGCTGGGAATCGCATCAGGACCTCCTATATGGCCGGAATGCATTATAACAGTGAACAACCGCATAGCTCAATAGTTAGGCGAATGACAACAATTAAGATTAATTCTATGTAAAAAGTAAACTGCGTTCACTCCCAAAAAGCTATGCATCAATGTTTGCATATGGTTAACAAGGATAGTAGAATGCCAAAACCTTAGTGACGGGACATTTAAAAAAAGATTCATCCGAAAGAGAGAATGCACATGTGAAATGCATTGAAGAATTCCTTTCATATTCTTTGAGAAGCAGTAAGAATAGCAATAGAGTGAGGGATTCCTCTGTACTTCGCCAAAAACAGTGGATAGAAACCTTGAGTCATAGTATTATGATGGTGTGATACAAACAATGGGTTCCAACGGAATATTATTCTCACATTCAATAGTGCATTAGAAACAGAATTATATATGTGTATTAGAACACTGTTACAGATCATTTTATGTAGACCAAAATCACACGTTCAGTGATTGGTTATAGAATATAAACTGTACAGATATAAACAGAGGTTTGATCAGTTGAAAATATACCTTGGCTTCTGTGTCTTGCCTTCTGCTATTATTAATTAGTAGACATGAACATTTCTGTCAGCGAAACTCCTAAGTTCGTCTATTTCAATGTACTAAAAGCAGGACTAAGAGAATAATTGATTCACTTATGAACAAAGCTTTATTGTCAACTAACTTAATGACTGATAACTCTTGCCTCTATTACGTCTCATCATCGTTTAGATATTCTGAGTTCACTGTTGAAAGACAATATAAGAAAATCATTCAGCAAGTAAGTAGGCTTTGCTATCCTACTACTGGAGGTTGATACTTCTCCTTAGTGGTCAGTGATTGATTGTATCAGCTGGACTGAGTTCGACCCGATGAAAGCAGAGTATCCATTGGTAAAGAAGCAAGTATTTTCGCCTTCGAATAAAAAGAGAGGTGTAGGTAAGCAGAAATGAACTGCAAAATAAGTCAAATGGAGACTTTTACTACAGAGTAAGCATTGTGGCTTTTAAAATGTAGAAAATAGATTGATGCAACACTAGCAAGACTCTCTTTACCCACTGATGAAGGTGAAGTGGTCAAAAAAATAAATAAGTAAAAAATAAAATAATTTGGACAATTATAATTTTTATAATTTTAAAGGTTTAGGGGTAGAGGGGCGAAGTAGTCCGGTTTATACATTCATGTAACGATGGCCAAGGTAAGGAAAGTGGCTGTATACATTTTTTCTGAACACACAGGTTTGGCTTCTTCAGGTGGATTCCTATTGCTTCAGCTGTCTGTAGAAGACGAACTCGTAGAGCAAAATTAAGATTAGTAGGAATGCGATAAATAATTTTAAATGCAGTATTAACGTCAACCTTATGCTCAGTATCTACAAGGTGTACCGAAATAGAGCTACGAATAGATCTTGTTTATCGCTTGCTTAACCATGTTGGATGATGTTCGGAAATACGATGATGAACCGGCCTAATTGTACGCCCAATGTAGCTGGCTCCACAGCTGCAGTCAAACTGGTAGATAAACATAGAAGAGGCAAATTTAGGTAGTTTATCCTTATTTCTCGAACGTAGAATAGGGGTGGTTTTGAAAAGACAAGGTACCTCTGCTGCATAATAAGCTCTTTTAACAGCATTCTTCAGGCGGTGTTATTATTTCTCTGATGTTGTCACCGAGGAACTGCAGTTTTATGAACATTTATTTTCTCGGAACTGTTGTCATACTCACTCTCCTAGGTGCTGAGTTCATATTTTTCTCACTGAATTTATCTGGATAACCAATTTTTTCTAAGTAATTCTCTAATAATCTTAAGCTCCTCATTGAGGCAGTCGTATGAACAGATTAACCTGGCTCTTTGAACCAGACACTTTACTAGTTTGCGTTTATATTTCAAAGGTACAAAACTCAAAATGAAAATGAAATACTCCTAGTCTCTAACATCCTCCACACCTTTCTACTTTAGTAGTTTAACGGAATGACTGACATACAAATTCTGTATGAATTTAGTCTTTAAGACGACGCCAACAAACATATAAACCTTGAGTTTCCTTGGAGATTTCTGACTTTACTGAAATCTTTTGAAAGACAGAAAGTAATAGAAAAAGAAAGAAGGAACTCCTGAAAAATGTGTTATTCACCTTTTCCCTTTCATCAGCACAGAAAAGAGGTCATTATTATTGGATAAACAATATGTATGAAACAGTTTCTATTGTTCTAATTATCATTCGAAGGTGTTTCAACATTCACATTTGCATAAATTAAATTTGATACCTGAACATGACGTTTTCCTGAAAGTTGAAAAACAAACAAACCAACAGAATAAGAAGTTGATGCAATTTTTTTTTCCAAGATTTTTTTCACTCTGACTGGACAAACTAAGCAGTTTATGTTTTATTTCGCTCACAACTTTCGCTTGAATAACGTATTGCTTAGCTATAATTAACAAGGCATATAGTATATACACTACAATGACTTTCGATCAGCAATATAACCAGTAGTTATGCAACGCACACAGGCCAGTTGTAATTGTATCTAAATGTTTAGCATATATCAAAGATAGATATTGTGGCTTAAAACTACTGTGTGCATTTTTAATAATGTGAGGAGGAGTGACTGATACAGACAACCTATCAGGATGTGGGAGCTGTAAAAATGCCTGACATATAACTCAAATAACTCATTTGTGTATTCAAAGGGAGAATTTCCGTTGTAAATTTTTCTACACCACCAGTGACACCATCAGTTATAATCTATGAAACAGTAGATCAACCAGCTAATTTGTAAGCAAAAGCTAATTAGATGACTTTGGTATCAATTATAACGAAGGTGCCTGCATAACTGCTATCGAACCTCGACTAGATTACCAGCTCGCTAGTTTTCTAGCCTGTCCCAAGCCAGGATAAAGAGGCAGTCAAACGTCTACCTCAAATTTATAGATTTTGAGAAGGCCTTCGACAGACAGCGTTGACCGCGAAGTAATCTGAAAACTGCTCGAGTACTACGGCGTACAGTGATCCAAATATTCATCAACCTTATTTAACATCTAGCTGTACGACAACGGCGGCATATGTCAAGTGATCCACAACGGAAAACTCAGAGAGGCGTTTGGAGTAAACACAGGAGTCAGAAAAGGGTGCTGGCTTATTATCACCAATGATATTCCTAACTGTGGTGGACTGGCTGGATTATGCGTCAGACAGTGAGTGGGAAACGAGAAGCCAGGGATATCCTGGACAGACAGATGTGAAGAACCTAGAAGACCTGGATTTCGCCTGTGGATGACTTATGTTTGATGTTACACAAAATCGAAGACTTAGGGGCAAGCGAAAACCGACCAACTGGTCGAAGAAGCAGCCGGCGAAGACAGGAATCCAGGTGAACATAGGTGGACAAGACGGAAGTTATGAAAATAACCAACCACCACCAACAATAACAATAACAGCAGCAACATCCAGCGCCAATCACCATCCACGGGAGGGATTTGAAAGAGGTGACTTCATTCACTCACTTATCTAGGGAGGTAGCATTGTCTCAACTACAGCCAGTCGGAACAGAGGAGGATGTCAAATCGAGCGAGAATCGAGAAGGCGAGAAACACATTCACTCATCAACCTGAAACCAATCTGGAAATCTTCTGCTGTCACTCAGCATCAACAACAAAAATCGGTCGGATTTTCAATACAAACAACGTCAAGTCAGTCAGTTCTTCTATACGAAACGCATCAGAAACTTGGCGGGCGAGCGGGTCACAAAGAATATTTCCAACAGCCTGTTGAAGACCAGACCTTTACCAGACCTTAACTGTCTTCTCTGGATCTATACTGAAGACCAGATGACCGGGCGACAAAGAATCACCAACAAGGAACTATAGGAAGGAAGAAACAAAACAAGAACCAATCGCCCACCAACAGAAAATATGCAGGAGAACGTGGAGATGGATTGGACACTCGTGGCTGAGGAGGCCGCTGGGTGACGTCGCGCGAGCGTCAGGCCATCGCTGGAGTGGGACCAGGCCGAAAGGGAAGCACGCGGCGAGTGGGACGTCAGTGCAAGTGTGGGTGACATGGAGGATATCGTGTGAAGAGGAGTTGAACGAGTATGGACTAACATGGATGGATGGATGGAGGTGAAAAGTACAGCAGAAGGAAGACAGAAGCAAGTGGAGACGTGCAGATGAAGCCCTATGTTCCACTAGGAACCCAAGGGAAGAATATTAATAACTGCTATTGTAAACAGTGTTAATCGTTCGGTTGTTGAAGGATTGGTGCATTTAGATTGAAGAAGAGGAATGCGTCAAACAATGGTGTTAGCATTTTGAATACAACCAAAGTCTAGGCTTTGTCCTATATGTTTTATTCAGTGATCCTGATGCAGGTATTATCTTTTTGAACATAAATTCGTACAGACTAGAAAATATACACCACTGAAATAACGTTTACTGTGCAAACAAAGCTCGACCCTGTGTAGATGTAAGTAAGGAAGCTAATAGAATTACTGAAATAAGTATAAAACTTGGGCCTTGTGCTGGTAGAGTATAACTCCATTATAAATAAGATTTTATTCTCATAAAATCACACGGTGTTATACAGCAATATTAACTGACGACAACGTTTCGACCACAATTTATTACTGCTCATAATCATACCAAGTCAATCACACAACTTTTTTTCTTCATTATGTACATTAGTGAAATTGATTAAGTATTTGAATAAAAATCAATATAAGATAATGTACATTCAGAAATAGGATTCTCAATAAAACAGGAATTAGGGTGTCATTCAAACCTACAAACTCACTCAGGTGGGACAACCTCTGTAGGCTAAAAAACCCACTGGACCCAATTAAACAAAAAAATATAATTTACAAAATACCTTGCAATGACTGTGAATCAGATCAACTACATGGGTCAGACTAGTAGATCAGGAGTAGTGAGATCGCCTGTCAGAACATAAGAATTTAGCTAAGGTAAGAATGGTTGACCCCGAGAAAATAAGTAATTTAGAAAGAAGAAAGTTCAACACCAGATTGCACTGCATGCATTAAAACACAGCCACACAATCGGGTGGGTGGGACAGAGTCAAAATTCTGAGAAGTAATATAGGTAGGTGAAGAGAGAGAGATTAAGATTGATTACTGAATCTTGGTTCATCGAGTCTACACCCAACACATGCAACAGAAATGACTCAACACAAATACCAGAGATATGGAAGATGTTATTACCGCCAGTCAGTCAAATCAGAGGAGGATAATAAATAATGTTAAAATGTATTCAATTCTCATTCTATCAAGTTACTTATTTTGACTATAAAAACGCTCGTCTTATTTCCCCTCTTATTGTATTTGATTGATAACACTAATATTATTTCTGAATGTACATTACCTTATATTGATTTTTATTCACATATCTAATCAGTTCCACTCATGTATATAAATGAAGCAAGAAAGTTGTGTGATTGACTTGGTATGATTATGAGCAGTAATAAGTTGTGCTCGAAACGTTGTCATCAGTTAATATTACTGTATAACACTGTGTGATTTTATCAGAATAAAATCTTATCTATAATGGAGATTTACTGAAAGTTTTTCTCACTATGGTAGTTAGCCAGAATGTTATTAAATAGTTTATGTACACGAGTATGATTCAGTTCCAGGATGGTTTGAAGGATTAACCTTGCCTAGCAACACTTGTTGGAAGCTTTTATTTTCCGTTTACCAAAATAATTCAATTTCAGTGGACAGTGAGTGGTACAGTACTACTGACTAGATGAGTTTTGCAGAATAACTTATCCCTACATAATCGTACAGCACTGATCTCCCAGCTTTCAAAGTCAGTTTGCTTACCTTTTCGAGTGGATTCGTCACAAACCCTAATAACAATGCTTATTGTAGCAATTCCATGTTCACTTTATGACACAAATAATATATTGTTTAGATATTTCAGATTGAATTATTGATTGGTAAAATTTTTATGAGTTATTTATTTGATTGGCTTCAGAGTTTTAGTTAGTCACCTACTATCTATGGTCGGCCTGCAAAATTTGGGCTACCATATCCATGCTGAAAATTCGATACTTGTACCAAAAATACAGTGTGGAATCAAGCTGTAAATCAAAAAAAAAAAATATATATCAGCAAATATTGCTTTATAGTCATTTCTAGGCTTCAGGCTTAAAAGTTAAACAGATAAAATTACTTTTTTATAATTTTATGCTGCTATATGCGGCCTATTGCATCAAGAGTTCTTCGTCCAAGTGGCGCTTACTCAGACTAAAGGTAATTAGGTTGAGCAACATCATCGCCCTACTTCTTTACTACTTTATTACTTCACTTCTATTGGTAATAGAATTTTCCAAATATCTGCAATAGGTGCTGAATCACTAGATTTTATCTTCGTATTTTATTGGCTGTAAATTTTAAAAGAGGCAACATATGAATATATACGAGATAATGATGAAAACCAAGCACACAGTTGACGAAATGACTTATACTTCATAATCCAATCTCCATTCTCCTTCTAGCATGCACTCTTGGAGGAAAACAAATGTTCCGTGTAAAAATTTATATGTTAATACTTATAAGTATATTAAAAACTTGAGTGTACAGCGAACCACACCTTGTTTATACATTGTTATTGTTCCCTTGTGTTCCGCTTTGTTCTGTTTTCCGCCGTCCTCTTCAGGTAAGTCGACAACTGGCCAAGCTCTCTCATCTCTTCTTCACACGATCTCCTCCATGTGACCCTCACACTGACGATCCACTCGTCGCTTCCCACTGGGGATTCCACTCGACGGCCTGTTGCACGATGTCATTCGACGGTTTCCTCAATGTATACCCAATCCATCTCTATTTTCTCCTACATATTTGTTGAGCGATTGGGTCTTGGTTGGTTTGTTCCAAACCAGAGTTTATTGTTGTTGATTCTTTCTGGCCAGCTAGTCATTTGATCTTCAGTATGGAGCCAGCAAAGGTAGGTGTTGATGAAAGTATGCAGGCTGATGGAAATCCATTTTGTGACGCACTGGCCAAGTTTCTCATCCGTAAAGAAGAACCAACTTCACACTGATGTTGAAAATGCGAATCCTGTTCCTTATGCTCGCTGAGTACAGTGCAGATTTCCATACTGGTTTCAGGTTGATGAAGGCTCCGATTTCAAAAAGCCTTGACATCTACATCCGTTCTGTCTGTATTTGAAACGATACTTCCCAGATAAGTGAAGGAGGCAATCTCTGTAAAATCTCTTCCGTTGCTTTGTGTATATCCTTGTGTTTGTACACGCTCCCTCCGATCACCAAATCATTGAAAGAGCAGAGGCCTGCGAATAATTCTCCGTTCTCACTCATTTCTCCGACAGCCTCTTGACTCATGATGAGTTCTCCTCCTCTATTATCTGCTCCCGATTCAGCATTCATATCGCTCATAAGGATTTTGATGTCACCATTTACGATGTTGTGCATAACCTTAATTTTTCAGAAATATCACAAATTGTTTTATTTATTTATTTTTCTGCATAGATGGTATTTACGTACATGTGGATATTCTTCAAAACATAAATACGTTGCTGTGACAACGATTTTATTTGCAATCACATTTATTCTGACCAGGAATATTGGAGCTATACCTTTTTGGTACGCACTTATCTACGATATGCATCATCAAGCTACTGAAGCACAGAGAATCTTCTTAACTAGCACCTTTAAACTGTACTTCTTTCTAGGTATTGTACTTGATATCTTAAACATATTTTGGGGTGCTATAATATGCTCAATGTTATGGCAAGCAATTAAATCTTTAAAGAATTCTTCAAAGAGTCCAGATTTCAAATAAATTTTCCATAGCTGTTTTCTTTTTTTTTGTTACTATCACTTCTTTTGTTGTGCATATATATGTATGTGCGTGTGTGTTCCTTAAATTTTTCATTATCATTACAAAACATTTATTCAGGGATATTTACCTATATATTTTTTTGGTTCTCCTCTTAGTTTTAAATTATATAATTGTTACTTTTCTAAGTAAATTAAGTGAGCATTTTATATGAGCGGGAATCTCCTTTTTCTTTTGTGTGCATATGTAATTTACACATAACGTTTCAACTGATCCGATTTTATTCAGAGTAGTTCCTAGTTGCATGACTTCAGAGACAGACAAAATGCTAAATTTGTGTCGTCAAAAGTTTTATTTTCTATTACTGATTATCAGATGGGTTCGATTAACTAACGGAAATAAAATATGAAGCTGTCTTCTGAAATAGTAACAGTAAGGCTAAATACCGAACAATCCTGAAGAATTTCTACTAGATTGAATGTTTAAGTGAGATTTAGTAGGAGGTGGATAGCAGAACAAGACAGTGTGTGAAGAACTACGTGAAAGCCTAGAAGTACTGGACACCTGTTTCGTCCTAGCCTGGGACCCTTCAGAAGTACGCGCCCGCCGCTAGCATTCGAACCCAGAAAATTCCGCTTACAAGGAGATGGATATTCAGGACAATTAAGCCACTGGGACGTGATCCACTGTCCACCTCATCAATTTCAGCTTCTAACAGTTCACCATGTAGCACAACTATTAATGTTCAACGACATCAGAGAGTATCTCTCCTCACACACACACACAACCTCATAAACCTGCTGAATTCCTGTAAACAATCGAATCAAAATCCTTGCAAAATATTAGTTGAATGAATTATTCTGTTCACCATTCTTGACCATTCAGTGCTGCATGTTTTCATTCGCCTCAAAACAGAATGAAGAGAACACGAAGTTCAGCAAAGATATCTTTTCGGCGATTTCATACTCAAAAGCTGTACAATCGCATTTATATAGATTATTTTAACATGGATACAATTATTATTTGTTTAATTTCACATAGTAACGAAGGTGATAATAATTTTCAACTTGATATGATAGTTTGAAGGTACGAATATAGATTACAAGAGGCTTAGAGACAAGATTTCATAGGATTAGAAAATAGTTACAACGTATGCAAAAAATTAATATTTGATAACTGGAGAAATAATTTTAAAGGCGAATCGAAGGTGATAATTATTTTCGACTTGATATGAATTACAAGAGGTTTAGAAACGCAGGGATAGGACGAACTACAGGTGTGAACAAAATGAGCATGGAAACAAATTGAAATCAAAATTTTCAACTTGACATGTTAGTTAGGAGGTATGAATATAGATTACAAGAGGCATAGAAACAAAAAATTACACAGGATTAGAATATAATTGTAAAATGGTTATTCTAAACGGATTACAAGTGTGATCAGGAGGAGCATGGAAACAAAATTAAAATAACTAGTTTTATTAACTGAAAAAATAATTTGAGCCTGAAATGAAAGTTAGGACGTGTGAATATAGATTACAAAAGCCTTAGAAACACAAAAATTGCACAGGATTAGGATATAATTGTAAAATAGTTATTTCAAACGAATTATAAATGTGAACAGGGAAAGCATGGAAACAAACTTAAAATAACTGTTTTTATAGCTGAAAAAAAAATTAGGTGGATTAAACGAAGATTGAGGGACTAAGAATCAGACACACAGCGAACGAAAAATGCTCTAAAGGAAAAAACAAGAACGAAAACAGACGAGGAAGAGAAAAAAAAGACGGAAACAAAGGGAACATACCAAGCTAGGTCCATGGTAGTTGTAGAGGTTGGACTAACTTCTTTTGAACACACAGCTCCGGCTTCTCGATGCATATTGCGAGGGCTTCTGCAGTACAAAGAAGTCGGAAACATATTGCTTTTGGTAGGTTTCTGTTGACTTTGTAAATCACTTTGAAAGAATCGGTTGAGATTTTGTGGGAGGTGTTGACCAGATGTTCAATAATGGCACTTCTGATTGAACCGGTGCCTCCTCTTTGCAGCCACGCTGGGTAGTGTTCTCTAACACGTTTTGAGAGGACGCGCATACAACGACCTATGTACCTAGCTCCGCACGAGCAAGTGAACTGGTATATGCACATTGAATTGGTCATATGCGAAAGTTTGTCCTTCGTGTTGTTTCGAAGTATTGGGCGGCTAGAGAATGTCACTCTTAGTGTTGCTGCAGGGAAGGTCTTCTTTAGAGAGCTGGATATTCTCCTCTTCAGGATATCAGCTGCCAAATCTCCCTTGAAATTCAGATTTAGATACAGCGTTTTCTTTGGCGCTGAATCGCATTCTTCTCTTTTAGGTTTAGGTTTCATGTTCTTTTCGACAAAACGTGTCGGGTAGCCATTTTGAGCCAGGATATTTTTGAGGAATAGGAGCTCCTCTTCAATGCAATCGTTGCTGCAGATTTTTCTAACGCGATGGGTTAGTGCGCTGATGAGGGCTCGTTTTCGGCTCAGAGGTATCCAACTATAGAAATGCGTTAGTTGGCCATTCCATGTCGGTTTTCTGTGGATGGACCTCTTCAGGGTTCCATCATCTCTTCTTGTCAATTCCACGTCCAGAAATGGAATCTTTGAATCGCTTTCTAACTCCATTGTGAATTTAATCGAAGGATGGGAATTATTGAATTCTTGTAAGATGCAGCTGAAGTCCGAGTTCTCGTAGCAGACTATAAAGGTATCGTCAACGTACCTTTTGTATAGTATTAATTTGTTGATTGTTGATTTTAAAACCCCACTCTCCAAACTGGCCAAAAAGCAGTCTGCTAAAAGCGGGCTAAGAGGAGATCCCATTGCAATTCCATCTTTCTGTCTGTAGATGGCGCCGTTGAAGGTGAATTGTATATTCAGCGTGCATCTCAGCAACAATTCCTTCAGATATGATATTGGTACTCCGACGTTTATATTAGATTTCTCCATATAATTGCACAGAAAGCAAATTGTTTCTGTTAGAGGCACGTTGGTAAAAAGAGATTCAACATAATTATAATAATAATGATATACTTTATTCCAAAAACAGTACTTGTGATACAGAATGGAATTTTCAGCATTAATCACAATATTGCATCTAATTTCCTCAAATTATAAATAAAATTAATCACACAGAATATTTTCCACATTTACAATAGAGGTAGTGTCAAAAACATGCAGCATATAAAATGGAAATAGCAATAATAATGATAACAGCTAGGGTAATAATAATAAGAATACAAGTGAAAATTGCCGTTGGCTTGTGTCACACAGTATTGGCAATGTGGTATAGAAATCCTAACATGTTTAAAAATATTAAGTATAATGTTCTCTTTACATGATATGGTGAGGGGAAAAACAAAGATTACTGCCGTCATGGAGATAAGTTGGTGTTTGCAATTATGAGAGTAAAACAGAGAAGCAACAGGACCATAAATATAATAGAAGTAATAAAAGTAAAACTTGAAGGTATATAAGGATGGATGGAGGAAATTGTTTATTTACTAGATGAAAAAAGGTTAGTTAATTCTTGCCTGACACTATTTTCATCACATAAAATACGTGCCAAGTATGGTATCATAGAATTTCTATACTTAGACGTGCGAGCATACAGTTTTCTGAAGTTACTCCTTGTTCTACCTGAGGAGATGCAAGGTGAAAGCTGAGGGTAAAGCGGATGCTCCAAGTCAGACAAAATCCCTTTAGCAAATTTATTGCATGAAGTCAAGTGCCTATCGACAACGACGTTAACTATGTGGTCCACTGGGACACCACTCACCCTACTGACAGTCTTCAGTATTCTACGAATTGTGACATAGTCCTTTTTAAGCAAACCAGGAAAGAATAAGGGTGGACAATAAAGAAGAATAGGTAGGATGCAAGAGTTTATGAACTGCAAGAGGAAGGGTTGAGTTATACCCGAGTGTCTTAACTTCTTAATGTAAAATGTCAGGCGGAATATTTTACTGGAGATTGCTAAGACATGGGAAGACCAGGAGAGATCAGAAGAGAGAATGAGTCCAAGATACTTAATTTCTGATTTGATTCCTATATCATTGTCGTCAATTTTACAACTGTCATGAGAATCGATGACTTCTTTTAACTGTCGTTTACATCTTAAGCTGAAATCAACAGTTTGACACTTAGAAGGATTCAGTTTAAGACCGTTAGACTCAGACCATTTGCTGACTCCCGATAGAAAGCTATTTATTTTAGTACAATCTAGCTGGGAGTTAACAGCCATTGAAACCGTTAAATCATCAGCGTACTTCACAAAGTTTATTTCATCAGAGTGAGGCAAGTCATGCAAGAAGAAAGAAAAAAGAAAAGGAGAAAGAACAGCGCTTGAGGGACACCAGCTTCAGTAGGCAATGAAGTGGATGACTTCCCTTTATATACGGTGTACTGCTTTCTATCTGAGAAATAGGAATGTAACCAGTTAACAGCCCAACATTCTGTTTGACTAGCAGCAAGTTTATTTAATAAGATGTCCCTAGGGACCGAGTCGAAAGCAGATGTATAGTCTAGGAAGGCGCAACGAACAAATTTAGCCCCCTTGTCTAGACTGGAAGCAATGTTATGATATAAGACGGCAGCTGCATCTAAAGTGCTTCTACTGTGCTTATAGGCGAATTGTTTAGGGTCATTAAAGGATTTAAGCGAAGGTACAAGACTAAGTAAAAGTAATTTCTCCATAGTTTTCAAAAAAGGAGAGGTAATAGCAATGGGTCTAAATTTGACACATGCTCCAGTGGATGATTTAGGTATGGGTACAACTTTAATGTCCTTCCAAACGGCAGGCACAATATTATCGGAAAAAGATTTGTTAAATAGATCAGTAAGAGGGTGACACAGAATATCAGAACATTTTTAAAAATAATACTAGGTACATAATCGGGACCTAAGCTCTGGGAAGGGTTTAGAGACTTGAGGCACTTTTGAACATCATTTGTGTTAAAACCTGGAAAGGGGCTATTATTAACACAAGTGATGCTGGGAAGCATGGCATTTGAGGGAGAGTAAATAAAAGATTTGTTAAGAGTACATACATCAAAAGAATATGGAATATTGTTTATCTGCTTACCACCAGTGATTTCCTTAAATAGTTTCCACATATTAGAAGGATTTTTGCAGGATATGAATTTCTGGTTATAAATTACATTCAACCTCTGCATTTCAGACTTAATTAAGAAGTAAGTTCTTTTTACACCACATTTATCTTTCATCTTATAGAGTTTTTCCTTCTCTCTACGAAGCTATTTAGTGATAGCATTCGTTTATCATTTACATTCAAATCTTTCATGCATTCGATGAACTCAAAAGTATCACGAAGAGAGTATTTGCATAGGTGTTGTCTTACCGGCTCCAACATTTCGAACAACCATTTGGCGATTGGATGGTATGGTGACCCTCACATGTCTAGAATCGGTCGAAGCGGCAAGCCAGGTTTGTGCACCTTTGGTAAGCCGTAGAGTCGCGGAATGGTTGATCCTTTCGGTTTGAGGCGGTCGAACAGGTCCTCAGATATCAGACGATCGTTCTTCATTCTTCTGAGAACATCTGTTAGTTGTCTTTCAATCAGTTCCGTCTTGTTTTTCTCATTGTCGGGCTTGGCAAATTTCTTGTCATCTGATATAAGTGTTGTCAGTTTGTTAATATATACATCTCTGTCCATTAGGACCACTCCTGATCCTTTGTCAGGATGTGTTATTATTAAATCTTTATTGTCTCTTAATTCTTTGAGTTGTTTTCTATGTACTTTTGTCGGTAGACGTCGGGCTAGAGATTTCAGGCTGAGACATTGACTATAGCAATCGAAGATTTTTGACCTTTTCCATCTATAAAAACAGTTATTTTAAGTTTGTTTCCATGCTTTCCCTGTTCACATTTATAATTCTTTTGAAATAACTATTTTACAATTATATTCTAATCCTGTGCAATTTTTGTGTTTCTAAGGCTTTTGTAATCTATATTCACACGTCCTAACTTTCATTTCAGGCTCAAATCATTTTTTCAGTTATAAAACTAGTTATTTTAATTTTGTTTCCATGCTCCTCCTGATCACACTTGTAATCCGTTTAGAATAACCATTTTACAATTATATTCTAATCCTGTGTAATTTTTTGTTTCTATGCCTCTTGTAATCTATATTCATACCTCCTAACTAACATGTCAAGTTGAAAATTTTGATTTCAATTTGTTTCCATGCTCATTTTGTTCACACCTGTAGTTCGTCCTATCCCTGCGTTTCTAAACCTCTTGTAATTCATATCAAGTCGAAAATAATTATCACCTTCGATTCGCCTTTAAAATTATTTCTCCAGTTATCAAATATTAATTTTTTTTGCATACGTTGTAACTATTTTCTAATCCTATGAAATCTTGTCTCTAAGCCTCTTGTAATCTATATTCGTACCTTCAAACTTTCATATCAAGTTGAAAATTATTATCACCTTCGTTACTATGTGGAATTAAACAAATAATAATTGTATCCATGTTAACTAATCTATATAAATGCGATTGTACAGCTTTTGAGTATGAAATCGCCGAAAAGATATCTTTGTTGAACTTCGTGTTCTCTTCTTTCAATGAGAGTGAGAATACTGCTTTTATTCTTCCTCCTAAATATCAAAGTTGGATTTTTTTCCTCTCTCAGTATGTGAAACTTTCAAAATCGCTTTAGAAAATATTTGTAGTGATCTCCTAAAATCCTGGAAATATGCAATATATATACATGTGCATGTGTTGTTTGCATGAGATTTATCTTACCTCGCTAATTAAGGCTCCTGAAGTAGTCGTCAATGTATCCTTACAGTATGTTACTAAAAAAGCCTAAAAATGAGTTCATTGTATTCACTAAGGACAGCAAAAGAGAAGTGAATTTACTCTGTAGTATTTATGGATAAAAAGAGAAGCCTACTTCAAAAACTTGACAAAGTTAAACTTTAAGTACCACTAACTACCATCAATTAGCGAATGACCTCGAATGCACCAATAACGTGAAAGAGGCATTTTCGTGTATGGAATACATACAGCGAAGTTCAACAACAGCTGCGTTCCAGGATTGCGAACGCTCCAATGACCTTGAACGCATGCTAGTCCTTGGCTCTCAGTCTGATGTTGGAATATCAACAAAGTATAATTCCATTGTGGGTAAAATTTATTTATTTTGATAAAATCTCATAATGTCATACAGTAATATTTCCTGAGTGATAAATTGTGCTCGAAACGTCATCAGCAAATATGACATTGTGGGACTTTATCAAAACAAATGTTACCCACAATGGAACTATACTCTACCACAGTGCATAAGTCTTATTCTTATACCGACAGAGTAATTTAACCACATTCTATGCACATAATTATTTACATCTTCTAAAACTGACAATAGCCCAAATCTTTCCTGAACCTAACTCTAAGGCGAAAATATCCCTAAACTAACTGTGATCTAACTCTAATCAAACCTACTCTCGCCTTTGTTGGATTAACCTAATCTTAACTTGTCCTTGGCTTAAAGAGTAACTTAATCGTTTCCACACACAAGCTGATTCTTGCTAGAAATTCCATTTAATATCATGATACTTCGATAAGTATAATTTATTGATGATGACAGAATTATCAGCCTGACTCGTTTCACTGACTCGGTCAGTGAGCATTTCAAGGTTATTGGTATGGTCCCACTCCATTGGTAGTCAGTGATGCTTGAAGTTTACCTTGGCAAAACACTT